ATCAACACTCCCACCCAGCTTGGTGTCATATCCATTTCAATGGATTATGCACTGAATGAGCTAGAATCTTGACACATATCTATTAAGCTAACATACCAGATGAATACCTTAGAGTAGCCTATGCTCCTTACCATGGCCTTATTTGAATGTCCTCCTCCCTGGAATTCAAGGTTTCCATAGGCATCAGTTGGGTATGTTTGGGTGTGTTTACTGACAGACCATTTCTCTGGCTGAGTTTCCACTTGCTTTGTTTCTTCTCCATTTTTACTCGCTGTTACACTTGGAGGAGGTGGAATATGTTGGTTAATGAGCTGACCACAGCAGCATCTGTAAGTTAAAATTTGAAGTGACTTTGGTTACAGTACCTTCAATATTGGATGGTGATTTAAAAAAAAAAGAAAAATAAAAGAATAAATCAGAAATTAGATTTTTCAACTGACCATGCTTTGCTCTACATGAATCATAGAAACACCTCTTCTAGGTCATATCTGTTGTATTTGCATACACACATATGCCAGAATTATCAGCCCACAGGTGTTTCTTAACAAGTAAAAATAAAAAATTTCACTTCACTTCTGTTATACACTGGAAAGCTGTTCTAGGCTAAAGGACAGGGAAGGAAGAAGAATGCAAGACAGAAGCAGTGACCATCTCTTTCTTACTTAGAGGTGACAGCTAGCATGTGACATAAACATGTTATGTTACGTTACATTATGTTATGTTATGTTATCACAAGCTGGACCACAGCAATATCAATATTTGGACTGAGAATTCCAGTCCCCCTGTATAGTATTGTTATTGGTAGTGTCATACCAACTGTGAAGAATGGTACCACTTGCTTCACAGTGAACATTATTGCACTCTTTCAGAATCCAGTGTGAATTTATGCTCTGGTTTGAAAAGCTAGAAACTAACAACTCACTGCCTCTCCTGCTGCCCAGCCTTGTCATCTTTCTATGACATGTCCCATGGCTCTGTACAGACTTGAGTGTAAGCATTTCTTGCACTTTTGTTCCCCTGTCATCTCTCTTCAAGGGCAGTGAATAAACTGGGTCTCGGTTTCACATGTCTAAATCCAAATAAAGACCAGTTTCTTCAGTATTAACCTTCTTTCGTTGGGCAAAACAAAAAATTCAAATATTACCTGCTAATGTCTTTGCTGTTGGCAATTACATAGATGCATTCTCTTTTTGAAAAGGTCTTCTCTATCCAAGCCTTTTGACCCTTTGAAGGGAGAAAAAAAAAAGAAGAAACATACCTGAAATATTTCTGTGTGGCAGATATAGTAACATTTGCCTTCTATTTTCAGCTACTGTTTTTAAAAACAAGCACTGAATTAATTAAATCACTTTTAAACACCAGCTACATCTACTCATGAAGCAAGTAGGTGATGTGAATTTTCCATGATTTGGATAAAATTCAAATGTCAATCGTGTGTAAAAACCTTTATGCGCAAAGATGCTGGTTACAATGTTTATCTGAAGGTCTACAAAAAAAATCACCTGCTTCTTCCTATTTTATTAAACAGTAAATGGACTCAAAGTAGTACAGAAAAAAAGCAAAAATTATTACATAAATGGATTAATAATATTTACTCCAAGTAATACTTTAGTATTGTTCTTTGTATGTAGAGATCGGTCACCAAAAACTTTGCCTGCTTGATTAACAATCTTCTCAAAATAATTTTTTCCTGTTGTAAATCAAGTTCCAGTCATTCCTAAAGCATCTTACTCTTAACAAGACATGTCTCAGTAGGAGGCATTCCTTAAGTTGAAAGAACATTTGACAGAAAAAGTACAAACTCTTCAGGCATAGTGTATCTGTGAAACAGGAGGAGGAAGACAACCTTGAAGACAAAATAAAATTGTGTTGGCCTATTATAATGTGTTTGCAAATCACAACTTAGACCAAGCTCATAGCCATTTTAAAAACGACGACATGTGGGCAAGCTAGAATAAAACCCTAGATCTGCACAGTGTGGTTAGAAAGTCTGTTGCAGAAGTCGAGTGCAGTTGAGTTTGGGAACACTGAAGGGAGTGAGTTCAGAAACAGCTGCTTTTCAAAATTTATCCAAAACTACACTATGTCCAAACTCACTGCTGTTTTACAACTATGTCCAAGGTTGCTACTTGTGCTTATACAGACCATACTAGCTTATGACCTTTAATGTTATAAAATAGGCTTAACAGGAACCTGTTACAGATGTTATTTATCTACTTTTAAAATTATATATTTTCATTTTTAATTAATTTAGGTTTTATTATTACTATTATTTTATTTTAAACATATTCACTTTTTTCCACAAATAAAATGTTAGTCCCTGATAACTCCTTGTCTGAGTGATGCAAATGCCCAAATCAATCCCACAGTGCAGAAAACACTCTTCAAAAAATAAATGGTAACTGATGTTGCACATTTAACTGTTCTTGTAGAGAATACTGGAAAATGCAAGCTAGAAATATCAAAACACCTTGAATTTTTACACCATGTCATTGAGTACTGCTTTATCTTATTCCTCGTAGTTTACTAAAGTACAGAGTTTCTTTTGCTGTTTTGTGTGCTTCATGTAAAAACAGTTAATTACTGGATTAAGCCCCAGACTTAATATTTGTGTTTGGAAGGAAGCTTTTGCATCTTGGTATCTAAAATGAGCTCTACAATACAGCTGAGCTCTCAACTGTGCAGTCATTCTTAAAGCCCTTCTCAAAGGAGGTCTATTATCTAATGCTACACTGGAAAATACCTTACATACTCACACCCAAAAATGCTGTTAAAAACCAGTCACTTTAGGCACTACAGTTGGACAACACATTATGCTCTACTGGCTTACTTTTCTCTGCTAATGAGAGGAAGGTAAAAGCAGGCATTATAGGTCAGGAAAATAAAACCCCAGCACATTTGGTCAGCCTTTGAAGTTTCCCTGCTTTTGTCCATTTAATCTGCTTAACCAAAGCTTCATTATAATCCAATGCAAATACTTGAGCAGAAACATTCGCTGTCAGAAAACGGGTACTTTCCCCACTTACTTGATACAGATGCTGTACATTTCTCTCTCTGGATTGAAATTTATTTTGTTTCTTGAGGAAAAATGTAAGTATGCATACTGTCTCTTGTGTTTGAAAAAAATAAGTGCTTTTTAACAGCCCTGGAGTAGATGAATTGTTAAAGGACCATGACAGATCAGCTACAGTTTTCAGGCCAACAGCCAGTGGGAGTATTAGGCTGACAAATAGTTGCTGCAAGCAAGATTATAACACTAAAAAACACTGCACACTTTCCATTCACCTCTAAGAAACATTAAAAAAGCAAGATCCCAACTTGTTTATAGTAGTGAAGTTCAAACCTGCTTATTATTGCAAATCCTGAATGTACTAATCAGAATCTAATTTTGAAAAAACACATTTCAGATATTCAGTAGCATATTTGCTCTCCTTTATGAAAACTAAAAACGGGTCTCCTAAACTACGATAAAAACAAAACAAAGCCCCTGCTAATTCTTGGTCTTCAGCCTAGAAATCAATATGTTGCCAAGAAATAGTATTAATTAATACTGGGTTTATATTATTCCACTTCATGGATTTGTTAGTTCTCTTTAGCATTAAAAGAAGGTATCACTCCTGCAGAAAGGAATGGAAATCAGTGCTGTTGGTTTGTAAATAATGAGTTAACAAAATAAAGACCCTAAACAAAGCCACCTTTCTAATATGGCCATTAATAAACACAAGAAGTAGTACTACAAAGACCAGTTGTCCTTTGACTATCACAAACAAACTACACTAATTGCTGAGAAACATATGTATATCTAGGGCTGCAGACATACAGTAACTGAAGAGAAAATTTTCTCTCACCACCACACACAGACAATTCCAGTTTGCTGCTAAATTAACGTCACATTTTATGTATTTCAGTTCATATATAACCGACCATTCAATGAACAAGTACTGGGCCTGAATTTCAGGCTGTACCAAAACACAGCCCGCAGCTCTGTTTCATGGCAACTTCATGCAAGAGCGGCAGGTGGGCTCTGGACCAATGCACCTCTGGTGAAAATCCAGGGTGGCAATCAACACAGGAGAGCAAAGCCACTGGAAACGTCATGCTACAAAAATCTTACACACCATTGTGCCACCAGAAAGCTGTGAATTTCAGTTGTCGTATACCTCTGCTGGACTTCAGCAGTATTTAGTGACTGTGTCATCAAAAGCCCAAACTCAACAAGACCTAAAGCCAATGTGATCAGCCCTCTCAACTGCCATGATCCCCAAAGAGAGATGCTCCATGCAGCAGGGACACGTGTCTTTGCTGGATGGCTTGGCATGCTTGACTAGGTCACAGGATGGATGGGGCTTTGGCCTTATCTTGCAACGAGAAAGCATCCGCGCTTTGGCACCTGGAGCCCTACTAAAGAGCACATGCTCCCCAGCTGCTGCACTCCAGTGAAGCTTTGCCTGTACCAGGCACAGCTGGTCAGCAGACAAGTGGGCATGCAGACAGCACCGCTTGGTGCCTGGAGCCATGCACAGGGATCAGACGCAGCAGACAGTGCCTGGCATGCAGATGCAATGGGGGAGTAAGCAGGGGACCAAATGAATGTATGTCATGCATAATACAGGGTATGACAAAGCTGTTCAGGCTAAATCAAGCACAGAATAATACAAATGCCCAGTTGGCTGGGCAGCAGAGCTCACATCTGTGGAATAATACGAATTACTTTCACCAACATCTTGTTAAGATGTGGATTGATTATTGTCATTTATGGAAATAGTCAGCTGTAAACCTGTTCATACCATCTTACCAACATTTCTAAGTAATCCTCCTTTAGCTTGTAGTATGCTGCAAAAGGTGGTATCACCAGGGAAGTAAAATCTCAACTATGTTGCCCAATTATTTAATTAGAATGCTCTACAGAATTAAACTGGCATATTTATGCCAGATTTGAGCAAAGAGATGTTTGCTTTGATATGATAGTGAGACAAAGAAGTAATCTGGAAATCCATACCATGAACATGTGCATGGTGTGTGCACAAGCCCATTCATGATGTAAACAAATCTACAGACTTTTGTAAATACCATGAGGGTAATCACATTCAGTTGCTGTTACTTGAGAGAAAACAAAAAAGAACTCTGTCCAATAAACAATTGGGAGAAAAAAGAAAAGACATCATTATATCTGGAGAATCTCTGTTACCTGGAACTTAAAAACCAATACTAGAAAGATTTCTGTTTTGCACTGCCTTTAAATGCAACATCCCAATTACACTATCCATCACTCTTCTCCACTTTGAAGTAATAGTTTTTCCAAGCGCCTAACTAATCAACCGTTCAGGTGATGAGTTCTACCCATAACAACTGTCCTCCCAATAACAGTGTTCTTGCTTGGAGAAAAATACTCCAAACTATGTGATGAATGTTAATACCCAATTTTGTAGCCACTGATGAACTGGTAAGATTTTACTGAAAAGCTGTTCATTACTAAGAAATACAGGACATAAACCCATAATGCTATTTTAAGTTTGTGTTGTGTCACTAGGAAGCCAGAGCCATAAACAATGTCCTCAACTACAGAACACAGTGACAGCCTGTGAACCTAAACTAAATTTCCAAAACCCTAGTTTGCACAAGTTACATAAAAAAGTTATTTGTGCAACTGATAATAGTTTTAGCAATTATTAGAATATGAAGTACCAAACAATATCCAATAGAAAGAGGATCTCTTATATTGTTTAGTAATAAGTATAGCATCAAGAAGGGATTTGTAACAGTTGTAAGATTATTTCAAACAAAAGTCTTTTTCCTCAAGACAATTCTTATTCTTATCCCACTGTATTTTTCATATGGATCAATTTGAACCCCTGCTCTTGTAGCAACCTTGTCAGGGAACTGTTTGCTCTGTAGTTGAGATTAACATAGAACAGGCAAGATGGCAATGTCAGTAAGCTATGTTGTTATTTCAAATCGAGGCTAGAAATCACTCCGGCTGATGATGTGGAAACCAGTAAGCAGTGCTACGCCGCACAGAGCTGTAATGAGCTTTCCTGCCTTCATTATGCTTTGTGTTCCTCATCTGCTGATGAGGCACGCAGCAAACATCCACTGAAACAGAAGGAATAATTTTCTCTCCACATTCATTAACTTAGGGACACAATCTACAAAAAGAAGTAATAAGCTCTCTTTTCAAAGTTAACACAATTCTGCTGCATCTCTTAGAGATACACAGCTCTGCC